TCTTCCAGACCCAGACACTTTTGCATTTGATAGTTCCCGGCTGTTGTTCAAATTCAACTTGATCACCTTCGCCAGCCGCAGGTTGTTATGCAAGAAAAAAACTGTGTAAGTGTAAATCTGTAATGCAGAACACGCAACAGAGTTACACCTGTCATGCCAGACAGACATGAAGTTCTCTTTTCCTGTGTGTTTTCCCTTACAAGCCACGCATGACAGGTTTTCTCTGTCATGTAGAGCAAATTTGTGATGCTGTCAGCCCAAGATAGTTACACTAAGACAGTTTTTTTGTTGGATAGTTGTTTTGCTGCTCACAATACGCCAGCCCGGTACTCAGTAACTGCTTCGCCTTTTGCAAATGGTGCAGCAGCTTCGCCTCATCCGGTTGTTGTTTTTCGTCTTCGTAACTCGCCTATCAAGTGCAAAAGTGTCTGGGTCTGAAAGAGTCATGCTGTTTTTGCATGACACGCAAGGCCTGGCATGGCAGCTCTAGCATCACAGGTTTCGAAAAGCTTCCGCAATGCCGAATCCGCATGACAAATCCCCCCTTTTTGGTGACAGAAAGTGGGCAGCATTTGCTACCTATGCATGAGAGGTTTTTCTGTGTTCTGAAATGCGCATCGCAAGTTTGTACTCTTCCAGTTCCAGACCCAGACGTATTTGCAATCCATATCGCGCGGCCGAGGTGAGTGGATGCGAAGTTTGTGAGGAGAACGCATCACAGAAAAAAGTGTTAACGTAAACGGAATTTGTGATGCAGTAATGCATCAGAAAAGGTGCCCAAATTTGTATTGCGTAGCATGCAAGGGAAGCGAAATTTGTAATGCACGACTGCCATCTGTGAAACCCGTTCATCACGTTAACACTTTTTTGTTTGATAGAACGATGTAGGAGTTGATGCTGGTGGCTACAGTTGTAGCCGGACCGGCGTCGGGTGTTGTTCTTGGTCCCCTGGTAATATGTTGATCCGCGGTGTCCTCGATTTTTGTACTAGCTACTGCACTACTTCCCGCTGCGTTACTCTCCGTAGAAGAACGAGCTACTTGCTGGAACAATTCATGTCCCTTCGCTTCCCAAATCTCGACCGCCTGGCTGAAATAGAGTTCCGTCGTATCAAAATGAAAAATCCCCCCTCCCCATACCAACACGGAAATTTGTGAAGCTGATTTGTGGCCACGAATCGTCTTTGTCTTGCATATAGGGTTATAGGAGCCATTTGACGCATTCCGGAGCATATCTGTCATGCGCTTTCGACTACTGCGAACCTGTTTGCCATGCGCACTTGCTAGCCTTCTGCATACCCAAACAGGCTCAGACAACGCAGCCAAGCACTTTCTGCAAGACTTGTGTACGCAAACCCAGCATCAGAAACTTCGTTTCGATATGGGGAAGGGGGATTTTTCCCCTCAATACGTCGGCGTCAGGCTGTTTTCGTACCGTTCGTATTCGGAAACCCCGCTTTCGTCCGCGTCACGCCGTAAGGAAATACCTTTGGTGAGTGCATTGGGTGGGTTTTAAGGATTGTTAGCGTTTGCCATGTACAGCAAGCGATCGAAATTGCTTTGTCTTTCTTGTCATGCACATTTGCAGGACGTACAAGAAGAGCAGTATCGTTCTACCTAGATTCACCAGCGCTCTAGCTTCAAACTGCCAGTCCAACCCCTCCAGCTCCCGTTTACTCAACTCCAGCGCTTGCCGGTAGTGAATTTCCGCGGCGTCTCTGTCGTCCAACGACATGTAACAGGAGCCAAACGCGGTCAAGCAGTCGAACGTACCGACGAAGTCGCTGTGCAGGTGGGCTATGCGCAAAGCTTGTTTCAAGTCCTCCAGCGCTTCCTTGCAATCCGAGGAAAGCCGCATCTTCTCCTTGCAGTTCGCTAAGTAGCGGTACGCGTGGCCCTGCAATTTCTCGTCGGTCTCACACAGCTGAAAGGCCTGCTGGAAGACGATTATGCATTGCAAATATGTTTTAGTCAGTAGGGTCTGGAAACATGCAAACTTCTGATGCGCGACGTGTCAGATCACGCAAAAATCTGCCATGCATGGGCAGCAAGAAAATCCATTTTTTGTCTCCGAAGGAGAAAATTTGTAGTCGTGCGGAACAACAACATGGCGGCACCTTCTCAATATTAAAACCTGTGATACTAGGCCTTGCATGTCAGTCCTTCGGGGTCATGCAAAACCAGCATGGCAAACCTAAACACCTGCAGGGCATCAACATTTGCATTTGATAACCGTCACGGCTAACCGAAACTCGTTTTGGTGAAACAAAGTGCCCGCTTGGTCGAAAAGGATTTGGACTTGTTTTTCTCTCGGGAGGGAGTATCCTGAGAAAAAACTCTCTCAGTCTCAACTTGTGATGCGCAACTTCCTTGGGACAGTCTTTTGTCATGCTCGAAAAGCAAGAGAGTCCTCTTTCATGTGTCTTTTCCCTTGTGACTGACGCATCACAGGTTTTCCGTGCCATGCTGAGTCTGCAAAGCAGGTTTGAGACTGAAACAGTTTTTTCTTGCGATACCGAATGGAAATCGTTCAACACTGGTTGCTGGGTCGATGAGGAGGAGGAACTTGTAGTGCTACCTGTGGAAGTACTACTATTATCGGTCTTGTCGTCAAAAATCCGCTTGCGATTCTTCAGAAACCCCGAACCGAAATCTTGCTTTTTACTTCTTACTTTATTCCCTGCTGCAATAGCGCTGCTGCTGCTGCTGCTACTGGTCCCGATAGAAGTGCCAGTGCCTGCATTTATTTTCAACGCGCCGTCACCCTCCTCTTTCTGCAAATTTTTCGCCAGGAGGGAGAGCTGTTTTTTGTTGGAAAAAATCTCGACCCCGTACCGGATTTTCTCCTTTTCCTCGTTTTCCACGATCTTGATGACTTTTCCGACTTCTCCGTTGTATTCCGGTTTTTTCGCGAGGTCTTTGATCTTCACCCGGTCGTGGAGTTGGAAGGCGGAGGGTGGTTCTGTCGCTGTAGCAGCAGCAGTGGGCGCCGGTGGAGTAGCAACACGAGCTTCTTCTTGCCCTGAACCTTGCTCGGCACCAACGCTACCAGGGGCCACGAACTCGGGCGCAGCCTCCGCGGAAGGTGGAATAGGTCGTCCAGCAGCAGGTGATTGTTCTTTCCTCTCCTCATCCTTCTGTATCGGCGCGGCTGTACCCGATATGGTGTTCTGCGAAACTGCCGAGGATGTCGAACCGTCCGTGCTCGTGATGGCGCTGCTGCCTTTCTGGCCACAGGCACCGCAGACGGTCTGCACCGCACGCAGCAAAAGTTGCAGCATTTTGAAAATTTGTTCTTTGTTGTTTAATTTGAGCTTTAGTTTCCAATATCTTTACCTGCGCTTCCTCTATTGTTCTCGCAGCTGTTTATAGCGTTTTTCCACGCGCTCACAAATGTGTCTGTTCAACAGCTCCTCACTACTGCCCGTCTTCCTTGCACAAATTCGATCTCTCTGTAATTGTTGCGAGAAATAAGATGAGAACGACTCGGATATTATTGCGCAGAAAGAGTGAGCTGACTACTCGGTCTTCGAGTACACCGCAACACAGCTCGCCACGCGATTGTGTGACATCATCTTCTAACACCGGTAGCTACAAACACACTCCCGGATCTTTCTAGGTCGCAGCAGCACCACGACCGGAAGTACATGCCACTGAAGAAAATTCTGGAATTCGTTTTACATTCGCGTACCGGGAAAAAATGAATCTGTAGGTGTCTTGGCAGCATTCGCTTGGTGTTTCACGGTCGAAGAACTTCAAGTGCACGTGATTCCGTATTCAAAAATCCAGCACCCCCCTCGCCCTCGCCAGCACCACATCCTCCCGACTCGCGCCGAACGCTGGGAGGTCGTCTTTGGCAATGAAGAACTGCTGCGGTTTTTCTCCTACTTCCCTGTCTGCTTTCCCGCCCGGCGGCCGCATCATTCCGCCCAGCAAGGATGTTTCCCCGTTCTTGAAATCAATCGCGCACTTGATGTTTTCTAACGAGGGATTTATCAGATGCAAAAATGTCTGGATCTGGAAGATTCTGAGACTTGTGATGCACGTTTTGCATGAGCCGTGATGTCTGTGATGCATGCCCAAGCATCGCAGACGTTTTAAGGGCATCTTGATGCCTATTCCGCATGACAAATGCCCTCCCGTAGCAAAAATCGCATTCCCTTTGCTGCTCACGCAATACAGCTTGTTTTGGAATCCAAATGCAGCATCACAAGTTGCATTCTTCCAGACCCAGACACTTTT